AATGCAGTTGGCCTTTTTAATGGATTTATATTCCAGCAACTTTCCATCAAACTTATATAACACAATGGAATATTTTCAATAATTTTAGGATGTTTACCATTACAAATTCGAAAAGCAAGTTGCTCATCATGTGTCTCACTATTAAATGGAGGAATTCCAGATATTAATTTCCACATAATCATAGAAAAACTATATATATCACTAGCTAAAGTATAAGGTTGTTTTCTTAAAACTTCAGGTGCTACAAATGGTAAAACTCCATATATTTCATTTTTTTTAGTAGATGACTGAAAATAATTTACAGGTTTACATAATCCTAAATCACTAATAGATAAATTATTTCTTTTAGTATTTAAAATATTACCATGATGAAAATCACAATGTATAAGATTTTGTTGATGTATATGACTTAGTCCATTAATAATATTATATAATTTTGATAATTTTATTATCCAATTTTGATTAAATATATTTAATAAATTTTTCCTTAAATTATTATTTTTTGCATATTTCATTACTACCATATAATTTAAAGTAGTTAGATTCTGAGTAAAACCATATAATTGAACTAGATTTTCATCATAATAATTATTTGATTGACAATAACATTTATAATGATTTTTCCACTATAATCATAAAATTATTTTAAAATTAAATAAATAAATTAAATAAATAAATTAAAGATAAATTTATTTTTCATACCTTATTTAAAATTTCATCATTTAAATTTGATGAATTATTAAAACTTTTAAGAATTACTTCAATTTGATCAAATCTTATCCATTTATCAGAAAATATACTGAATTTCCATTTTTTATTATTATAAGATTTGATAAATCCATTTGGCCAAATAGCTTTATATATAATACTAAATCATCCTTCATCAAAATATTTAATATTTTTAAATTTATTATAAGGAATCCATTCTAATACTTGTTTTTTATTTTGTGCATTTAATTGAGCTTCTTGAATAAATTTATCAATAAATTTATTTTTACTAGTCCAATTAGAAAATTCTTTTTTAAACAATTTAGCATTACATTCATTACACCAATTATATCCAGTGAATTTTTTATTACATTTTAAACAGCCTCCTATATTTTATAAAGTTTAGTTATATATTATTAATATGATTAGTTTATATTTATTATAAACAAAATATAAAATGTAAAATAATTAAAAATAATCAATAATATTATTTAACCATCTATTATATAAATCAAGTATATTTTTTTAAAACTTGTTAAAGTTTAAATATCAAAAAAAATATATTGTAATAAAAATTATAATTAAATACTGATAAATAATAAAAATAACTTACTTTCTTTAATAATTTTTTTAAATAAAAATTTAGTTGGGTTTAAATTATAATATAATTATATGCAAATAATTAATAAAAATAAATAACTTACTATCTATTTAATTTTATATAAAAAA